TCACGTTCAGGTGGTAGATCGGCGTGATGAAGCGCACCTAGCGGAGCAAGAGATAATTGCACACTCTACTTTACTTAGGAAGCTGCTATGAAAAGAACTTTTCTACAGTCTTGAAAATTAGCACGGAATAAGGTACATATATAGTAAGAATCTTGACTATAATGACCTGTTATTATCATCACATGTAGGTACTATCGAACGATGGACTTTACTTTAGTTTAGCTTAGGCAAACTTGAGGTGGATTGTTTTGGTTTGTGAATAAAAATAGTGTAGAGATAAAACGATCAATGTACTTACGATTGGAGGCCCAAGGGGGTAGTTTTCGCTACATGAACAGTCAAGGAATAAAACGAAACTTCGAACTTTACCGTATACATTAAAGTCCATCCGATGTCGTGCATCATAGATGGTGGCGAAAAAAATAAACGGGCTCAACCATAAAGCTTTTCCTTGTAACCTCAAAGGATTAAATGAAATGTAAGGGCGGCAAAATTGGATTTTTAATATCAATTTTCTGGTAATTTCAGACACCTGTGAGGCAAAAATGCGGTTGCTTGTTTCGTATCGTAAGATTGTTTTAGCTATTTGTGGACGGAAACCACCACCACCGCCCCCAAATAATGAGACGCCTCGCGTAGTTTTGTTGTTTTTTTACACGCTTTCAATTATGAAATGTTGACATGCTAAAATGGTAGCAAATGTCAATATCAGATAGATAATTCTAAATTCTAGAATGTTTTTGTTTGTCCGCCCTGAAATTACATTGGTTGCCTTTAAAATACTTTATTCCAAGTATAAGTGTATTTGTTGATAATATTTACATGTTATGTAAATAGAATTTCCTCATCTCGTTAACATTGCCAAAGCAGAGTTCCTAAATTTACAATAACGTATACTGTTAACCTCTGAGAGTTTTCACACGAAAACTATGTGTTAATAGTGATGGCACATTGCGTGCGAACTTTTCTGGCTATCTATATATGAATTCTGTAGTTCTACTTCAATAATGTATTGGTACCACTCTATCACATTTGAAAATTGCCAGACAAAACAGACAAAAAAAAAGGATACGGAAGAAGTATCTGAATCTTGAACTTCCCTCCTGTTAGTGAATAAGAAGACGTTGTGTTAATGATTTAGGAATCTGATGTACTGTTGTCATAAAATATTAAGGTAATCGCAATTATGATGATGCTCAATTATGATGCTCAATTATGATGCTCAATAAAAAATGTTAGTCCCAAACCTATGACATTTTTTTTTATTTCCAGCTACAACTGTTACACTGATATGCTGATTTACATTGGCTATCAAATCATAAATGCAACTATATTACCATAAACGTTAACTATAGGCAGGGCTTAAAGAAAAAGACCTGCATATCGGGGCTTTGTATGTATTTCTGATGCTACCTGCACCTATATCCACCACTTGTCCATGACAAAACCATACCCGCATATATGTTGGACCAGCGGTGGTCAAATATTGCCTTGCAGTATTTACAGTAGCATCAATGAAGTCGAAGACAACAAAATGGTGGTACTGGGAACTTCTTTCAAAAAATTCCATTTTTATGAACTTTGTGGTGCATTTGCGCAGAAGAAAAATTCCAAGCCCTGCTATAGGGAAGAGATGAAGTAAAAATTCTGATTCAGTGCTGTAAAAACAACAGTACCTTTATACAGGGAGTCCTGTGGCCCCGGAATGACAGCCTCCCACACGTGCAGGTCGTCTGAAGGTAGCGACACCTGGATACCGACAGGAGGGGACTTCCTCAGGGCGGCTAGCTCCTTCTGTACCCTGTAAGGTGACACATTATGCCACACAGAATTAATGTGTTGGTTCTTAGATATTTGGAGCAAAATTATAAAGAGACAGGGGTTATGAAACAGGCTAAGGCAACAAATACTACAATAGGAGCCATGGAGTCAACTTACCGGGGTGCTTTGTAATTCAAACAATGAACTTTTGATTTTTGATAAAGCCACAATAGTGATAGATGACACAACTGTAACAGCTAGGAAGATTTTTCTAAAACTGTTGGAACGTTTATATGAGCGTTTTGTACTGATTTACAAACTGACTTTTTTTGCAAATCAGAAAAAAATAAAGAGGGCGAATCGTAGAACCAGTTGATTAAATTGGTGTGTCCTTATGTGCATGCATACACATTAGCAGAAACCATTGAGAATTGAACATTGTAAAAACTATGAATAAACATATTCATGTTTTCTTGAGCCATCCTAATCCATAATTCTTATGAAGTTCAAAATGTCGAAAAGACTCTATCTATCTGCTAAGGGGTCCCAAACCTGTACCGAGTACAAGTGTCTTGAAGAGCCCTCTGCCCATGTTACCACCACGGTAGTCAGGGATAGACTATAGGCCGGGTAGTTTACGTTAGCCAAATTTAATGGGTGTGTATATAGTACACGCATGGTCTTTAAAAACAGTAAGATTTAATAGTCAATTAGAAAGGCCGACATTTGCTTGGGAGCAAATACAGCATATTTCAGTCCACCTCCCTCCCACGCAAAAGTGGACTATTCCAAACTTACCCCAGTGCAAAACTGGCAAAGGTTCTCAAATAAATGAATTAAATAGTAGCTATATGAGAACAAAGATGCAACAACAAGTACTTTGAATCTCGAAAGCTTTACTAATCTTATTACAGGTATGCAAAAACTAACAAAGATCAGATTTGATACATTTTGAAGGTCTTAGGCACATAAAATTGAATGTGTGGGTCATTACGCACCATTTAGGTGCAATGTGACCTCAGGTAACCCGCAATGGAACACGTGTTCCATGGATGGAACCGGCCATTCTTTAGATAGAACATGGAACGGGTACAGCACTTTTGGCCCTTTTTTTGCTGAAAATAGCCATTAGAGTCCCCCAAATGAGTCATTCGGAAGTGGTGTATGCCAAATACATGACTGCTATTCTGTAGACACACGTTCAAGGTACCCTTATACTACCTACCTACCTACCTAGTCCCATGACCGACACTGGTCGTCGGGGGGACAAGGCAGACTTTGCAGCAGGAATGTAGCCAGGTCTTCCTGTCTTGTAGCCTAGGTGCCATCCCCAGTAGTATATTCGCCAACTCTATAACTGGGTCTGGACTTGAACACATATGAAACGATTGGTGATGACGTCACGTAATGAGCTAGCCCGAGCAGCGGGTCTTCATTTGATTGGCTGACCCTCAGAGGCGACGGCCAATGGCGCGCCTGCATTATTCAAGTGATGTTTGTTGTTTTGTAAACACAGATCTTCGCGCGAGTGTTCCTTTTCTCGGTGCGTTCTGTTTGTGCGAGGTCAACATCAAGCTCCGAGAGCTGAGCGGCTTGTGCGTCAGTCATGTTGATGATCGATCGCGGAAAGTACACTGACTACGGCTATATCAAGCGCGCTTTAGCGTTCGGCGTCGGACATGTTGATGATAATAAAATAAGAATAACGATCTATCTTAACGTAGCCGTTCGGACGTTCGAACGGACGCTAACGTCGTCGTTCGGACGTCCGAACGGCCCTTACCTAATATGTACACACCCAAAAAAGGGCTTAGACGAGTAGGACCAATCAGCGCGCTCGTTCAAAATCTGAACGAATATTTAGACTCCAGACGCTACATATGTGTTCAAGTCCAGACCCAGTTATAGAGTTGGCGAATATACTACTGGGGATGGCACCCAGGCTACCTGTCTTGGGCTGCTTATACCGAATGTCATATCATTTGGTTGTAATACCAGGGCTCAGGATCTAAAAATCCATTTTTTGTCGAAAAATGCCCCAAAAAACCTTCATAAAACTTTTTCAAAGGCATGTTTCAAAAAAAATGAAAAAAAGGCTGGGGGTATTTGCCCACTCTACTTCCATGCCAAATTTCAGGTCATTTGGCTGAATGATGGCTGAGTTGAATCCCTCTGAACAAGTAGCAGGAGGAGGGGGAGGAGAAATAGAAGGAGGAGAAACATGAGAGAACACAATATATTTCATCCATACCATGGTATGGACTGAAATATAAATAGGGAGAATAACTGGCCACGGGAGTTTAGCCACCGTAGAGTTCATTTGCCCGTGCCTCCCCCGACTGACTCTCCTGGTCAATTATTTCAAATTTTTCTTATAATTTCATAATTTTGCAAAGTGCTGTCGTAGGATGGCCTGGTCGAGGCTATAGGTATGACTCGGGTGTGGATCGAGGCTATAAACACCCCAATGCCAACACGTCAGAAAATGTATATCCAAGCTCTTTGTGAAGGTAAATATGCCTTTGCACTTATCCTAACCTTCTTTCACTTTGTAGCATACAAGCACGTCGGCTGGATTTTCGCGTTTTTCGTTGGATGTCAACGTTGCAATAGAATTTAGACTGTTGCAGAGGATAGTTTTTCCGAAATAACATTTGGAAATTAGTGTCGAAATGCTAACCTTATATGAGCGAATACGATCTTATATGAGGCGTTCTGCCGAAATGCTATGTATAATTCATTAGGGGTTTCACGCAGTTCATTCTGCAGACGTGCTGAGCATACAAAGTATCAAGCTGGGCGCGCGATATTTCTACTTCCGGTTTGACCGATTGAGCAAAAATAAGGCAACTCACCGGCATGCGAATTGTCTCTCCATATTCCGTGTTGCCTGATCCCAAACTGTTTCTTTAAACAAATTTGCCTCCAGAAACGTTCTCCTGACGTCTAACACTAATATGATGTATCTGGCACGTATTGAGTCTGACTCAGCGACGATTTCAGAGTTGTGGTAATCTCAGACTCCGTTAGGTTTCGGTCCGCTATGACTCATTGGCCGGGCCCGGCCCGTTAATTTCCAGTATCAAGTCGAGAGGGGAGGTGGGGTCAATATTCGTAAATCTATGCCGACCGCAGCCAATTCTTACTGAGCTACAGTATTCATCTTTAATCTCATTAAAATCGACAAAACACTGCAAAACGTAGTACCTCTATTCGCCGTGCATTTTTATTGGATTAGTTTCTACCACCCCTTTTCAAAAAGTGGTATCAGCCGGTGGAAAGCCCACTGACGTGACGTAATCGAAACTTGGAAGGTACCACTCGGCTGAGGTTGTTCAATTATAAGCGCTATGGAGGTTGTTTTCTCCCTTTTCTTCAAATAAATGATGATAATAGATGATCATTTTGGCACTTATTCCGCAGACATAATGCTACGTATATTTTATTCAAAGTTTTATGTGGGAAAATGCAAATAGGTTCACATTTTACATTCGTTAGCATGTATGTAATTATGATGAAAACAACCTCTGCCCCCATTCTAACATGTAGCATTGGCATCGCCTTATTTTAGATTACGGCCGTGCAAGTAAAGTCCCTTGCATTCATCAGTCACACAGCCACTGGTTTCGGCAAGGGCAATTTGCTGATTTTCGGAACGTTACTTGCTGTATTTTGCCTTTCTAGAAGTTTGTGATCGGCAAAATGCCTGAGGGTGACAACATCTGGCAGCTTTTTGTCAAAGGGATATGTGGAGAGACCGTCATTGTGAGGATCCACAAGGTATGAAAATCTTGGCTCTTAGTGTAAGGCCATGTTGATTTGATTATATGGATGACATCTACGCGCGCATGAATTTTCGACAGTTTTTCAAGCATACTGTAAATCGTACAAAACAGTTACAAAATGACCAAATATATACCATAAGTTGAAAAAAATGTTGGAAAACGCTAGCCTCTACCAGGCTTGGGGAGGCGGCTGGAAAGAATAGAAATCGGCCAAATAGAGAGATAAGCATAGCAAGGGAGTTTGTCCGTTGAGAGAACATTTCGCCATTGTACCCCACGCCGCTAGCGACAGGGAAGCATGCGGGCTGAAAACGGGGTCTCATGCTGCTTAACCACCAATATTTTGATCGGCAACATGGTCGGGATGGTCTTGAATATTATAGGGTTCTCTTTTCTTTTCTTTTCTTTTCTTTTGATGAAAAAAGGGACCGCTATGGACTTGAAATTTTCGTGACCTCTCTGAGACTTCACACAGCCGTTCGTGTCACTGTCCGTCACGGCGCAGTCGCTAAGCAATAAAAGTGTAATTTAGCTACTTGGCACCTATAAGATAGCGATTGTGCGGCGAAATGTTCTCTCAACGGACAAACTCCCTTGCCATGCTTATCTCTCTATTTGGCCGATTTCTACTCTTTACAGCCGCCTCCCCAAGCCTGGTAGAGGCTAGTAGAATGCCAAAATTAACCGAAAAAGACAAAAATGTAAAGAAATGAATATGAAGAGTATATTATTCGCCATACCATACTCCGTGCCTTTTGTTCAACCATCAAGACCACGTAAATTTTCCTAATGAAAGCAACTTTTTTTGGAATTTTATTTGCACACTCGCATCAGTTTTGGGGTTCCAAGAGGATGTCATCCATATAATAAAATCAACAAGGCCTAATACTCATACAAGTGAACAGAAAGGACGGCGTGATACTGAAAACGTGACACATATAATATTTTTGCATTTATTAGATTGTATTTAGATTATTAGATTATATTCAATGGGCATTCCAAACAATCTTGAACTCGGACTACACAATCAGGGTACCTTGCACTAAAATCCAAGTAGTCAAATTGCCAGAGGAACACTTTTTTTTTTTCATGTTCCACTGGTACTTTCATTTTCGGTGGGTACTTTCAGTTTCGGCTGGTCACATTCAGTTTCAGTGGATACTTTCATTTTCAGTGGGTGCATACATTTGTATGGGCAATGGTTTAACGGAAAATTTGCAGCTGTCTACATTGCCTGACTACTTGGCCTGTCTACCTGGCCTGTGTACCTGTGCTGGCAATCACGTTACGTAAAAGGTTGAGCTGTGTACCTGTCTATATGGTGTCTACTAGGGCTGCGTACCTAAACGTAACATCAGGTACAGGTACAGGTACTGGTACAGAGGTTTAGGTACAGGTCCGGACCTGTACCTGTACCTGAACAATTTGACAAATTAACACGTGTTCTTCACTTTTTCAATCATGACACAGAAACAATAATAAAGTGTTGGAGGGAAGGGAAAATGACTGATCTCTGACCTGATTTGAGTTTGTTGACCAATCACAACCCTGGATCAGCCACACTCTCGCGATGTCTCGTGAGACTGAGGATCTCAAATCAATCGACGGTGTTTACGTCTTTTCCAGTGCTAATTTTTCGTCTTTGTGGTAGGATTTACCTATCTTTAGTCATATACATGGTGTAAACTAGCTATTTCGGTATATACTCGTTACTTCATGATCCGGTATTTTGGACCTGTACCGAAACGATTTTTACGGTATTGGACCGGTACAGTGTACCGGTCCGCAGCCCTAGTGTCTACCAGGTCTTTTTACGTCAGACTACTTAAATACATTCCTATCTCTCCACTAGGCATTCCCTAATGATAGCCGCTGCGCCCTCTAGCTGAATGCATCAAAATTACACACATTGCACTAGTATTGTGTAGCAAGTGGCATTTTGGAATAAACTTACAATGTTGACGTGTGCGGCCTTCAAGATAGATTGTAAAAAAAAAGAAAATTATTTTCAGCAGTGAACATGAAGTGTATGGGATGCAATAAGTGTGTTTCCCACAAAACGGTGTACTTAATGTCTTAAAAGTCAATTTACAAGTTCACATAGCACTGTAAAAAAATAGCCGCTGTATTCTAGCCTTCTTTTCAGCAGCAGAGACGCAATAAATTTTCCAAGAAAGCCGCTAGGAAACTCAAATATCTTGTTCCTAAATGTTGTGCAGGACGCCACAGTAGACGAGCTGATCAACAAGATCAGTGAGAGAAACGGCATACCTGCGAAAACCCTGCGCATCCTCTACACAACCAAACAACTTGTTTATGGTCAAAACAAATACCTGTCGGACTACAAAATGGAGGATCAGTCCAACCTCACAGTTGTTCTGCGCCTGAAGGGAGGAAGCGACACCGTGGAAGACCTGTCTCCTCCGCCGAAGCAACTGGACGAGGACGTGGAGACCACCGAGGCTCCTGATATGATCAGCTGGGAGGATGACTCCAACACGCCCCGAGCCAAGATGTCCTGTGGGCACGCCATCACTCCTGAGACACTCACCACGTTCTGCGAGAGTCTGCTGAGGTACGTGTCTCTCAATTATTTTTAAGTACGTGTCACTTAATTTGGTTGCAGCGTGGCGCTTTCGCCATTTTGTTACCCACTTTTCTTGCTTATCTATCTTGAGGGGTTCAGAGGTCTAGGCCCCATTGCAGCTGGAATAAAATTGTCTGGATCGAGGCGAATTGATTCGGTTTGATCCGGCTTCGGGACGGATTGGAGCCGGGTTAAAACGGGAGCAAACCAAATCAATTCGACTCGATTTAATCTTAGTGGGATGTGGCCCTAGATCATGGGCTGTAGGCCAAGGAGTTATTGTTTGAAAGCAAGGAGTCACCGCGCCGACCGCGGTACGTCCGTCCGCCGGAACTTCCGGGAGTTAGTTCTCCCGTCATCCGCTGCGCTAACTTATGACTCGAACTAGTGTCATAAGACCCACAGATGTCTAAAATCTTCGATCTTTGATTCTCCAGTGCAGGAAAGTACGTCTTCAAGTGCCCTTACATCAGCCCAAGTAGGGTGTACTGTGGCAAGGAGTGGACCTATCTGGAGGTCCGTCGTCTCGCCGTCCTCACAGCGGACGAAAAGAAGCAGTTCGAGACCAAAATCTCCGACAACTACCTGCGCAAGGGGATGGGCATCCAGGAGTGTCCCAAGTGCCACTCTCTCTGTGAGCGCATCAACAAGAAGCAAAAGCGCGTGGTGTGCCCCCTGTGCTCGGCCTCTGACGGCGTGGAGTTCCACTTCTGCTGGCACTGCCTGCATCAGTGGGTCGGAGGAGGCATCGAGAAGTGCGGCAATGACAGCTGCGGCGGTGAAGACCCGCGTCTCAAGATCCTACGCGACTGCAAGAAGAAGACTATCGTGGGCGTGGCTAACTGTCCTGCCGTCAGGGCCTGCCTGAAGTGCGGTATGCTTATCGAGCATGAGAAGGCCTGCAAGCACATGGTACGGTGTTCTAACTTACCGTATTCACTTCCACCTCTACATAATACAGAATAAATCAACAGATTGGATAAATTCTCCGAAGAGGCAGGAGATTCAGATACGGTCCACTATGCATATCTTCCATTATACATGACTTCAATAAAACTACACAACTCAGTAATCTTGCATCGTTTTAGAAAATAGGACTTTCTGCCTTTTTATAAAGTCTGTTTACTGCCTTTCTGGTTGGCAGTGTATTCACCGAGACAGTCTCTTTTGACTCCTCCCACGGATGACCTTTCAGTCATGTTTGACTTACTGATTGTCCGCTGTTACTCCTATTTCCAGGCCTGTGTCTGCGGTCAGAAGTTCTGCTTCATCTGCCTGAAGCCCGACCTGAACGGAAGTTACCAGTGCGGCAGTTACGACAGTCCGTGCGAGATCGCTGACGTACAGAAGACCATCCCTGCAGACAACTGAAACGGCTTCCAAGCTTTCTGGCAGAATAGAAATAAATACAAGCAATGGAGCAAAAACGCGTACGGCTAAGCTAAATAGCAGAGCAAAGAACCAATTTGCATTGTTTGTCTTCCAATACTGCTTTACAAAGTCCGACGTCTCTAGTAATTGGTATTGGTACTCTGTGACGTCAGTGGAAGGCAAACCAGAAATAGTCACAAATTGAACCGCATTCATAAAAAGACGCAGCGCTATCGCCGGAGCCCCATACCATATATGGTTGACCTCAAAGGAACCGATATGATTATCCAGATATCAATGTAGTATTACAGTCAGTGGCAGTAACTGAAATTGAAACACTGGGAGGAGTAAACGTATAAAAGTAGTATTACAGTCAGTGGCAGTAACTGAAATTGAAACACTGTGAGCAGTAAACGTGCAATAGTAGTATTACAGTCAGTGGCAGTAACTGAAATTGAAACACTGTGAGCAGTAAACGTGCAATAGTAGTATTACAGTCAGTGGCAGTACAGTAACTGAAATTGAAACACTGTGGGGAGTAAACGTGCAAAAGTAGTATTACAGTCAGTGGTAGTAATTGAAATTGAAACACTGTGAGCAGTAAACGTGCAAAAGTAGTATTACAGTCAGTGGCAGTAACTGAAATTGAAACACTGGGAGGAGTAAACGTATAAAAGTAGTATTACAGTCAGTGGCAGTAACTGAAATTGAAACACTTTGAGCAGTAAACGTGCAATAGTAGTATTACCGTCAGTGGTAGTAACTGAAATTGAAACACTTTGAGCAGTAAAAGTGCAATAGTAGTATTACAGTCAGTGGCAGTAACTGAAATTGAAACACTGTGAGCAGTAAACGTGCAATAGTAGTATTACAGTCAGTGGCAGTAACTGAAATTGAAACACTGTGGGGAGTAAACGTGCAATAGTAGTATTACAGTCAGTGGCAGTAACTGAAATTGAAACACTGTGAGTAGTAAACGTGCAATAGTAGTTTTACAGTCAGTGGCAGTAACTGAAATTGAAACACTGTGAGTAGTAAACGTGCAATAGTAGTATTACAGTCAGTGGCAGTAACTGAAATTGAAACACTGGGAGGAGTTTACTTGTAATAGTAATAGTACAGTCAATGGCAGGAATTAAAATTGAAACAGTGAGAGGAGTAAACGTGTAATAGTAGTATTACAGTCAGTGGCAGTAGCTAAAATCGAAACACTGGGAGGCCTAGAAGTAAACGTGTAATATTTTGAATTAATGTATGTGAATTGTGGCTTGTAAGTTACTGTTTTAGTTGAGACGGCTTTTTTTATATTTCATAACCTATAAATACTAATGTGGTGATATTGGTCTCGTATCGTATCTTGATACAAATTTTAAGAAATTCAAGATTGACCATACAAGATGGCCGGCAGCTTAAATATGGATGACGAAATTGTATGATGTCACTTTACGTCAGTGTTATTGCTATGGGTAACATAAGTCAGAAGACATGAGTATTATATCAAACATACCTTTAGTTAGATTTTGCTACATATCATTTGATTTTTACGAGAATAACCTATCCAGACGGTTTTAGCTAATAAAATCACATAAATGTCAGCCAGCATAATTGTCATCCAATAAAATGTAATATTGACACCAAAAATGTGGTTATGATTTGGTTTCACTAGTACACCATATTCTGAAAATCTGATGGTCATACGATATACCGTTCTTGACTTATGAGGGGGAAGGAATGAGCCATCCCCCCCCCCCCCTCTCGCTCAGTCTCACGAATTCCCCTCCCCAAAGCAGTCTAGACAGGGTTAAGGATGAGCCAAATGTGCATATAAATCTAGTCAGAATTTCTATAGGTGTTACTTTCGTGACCGGGATTAACGAAAGTTCTTTATGTTTCTTTGTTGCGTCTGCGGTACAGAGTTGTTTTACCATTCGTTGTTGCCTATAAGAGAAATTATTTCTAAGGACCGGTTACAGGTGTGAGCAGACGTGTCGTCAGCGTACCTGGCGTGTACATCAGCCTAAGTTATAAATTATGGCAAGTGGCAAATCATTCGTATGGTTGTAACCGTTCACCAACAAGGAGGGGCCCGAGTCAACTCCCTTGTGGTACACCCGGTGGTAGATCCCTGTTAGGCCCGTTAAAATGAACATACTGCTTCCTACTTTTTTTAACGGTGTCGCTCAATGCTAGCCCAATTATTTTGGCCACTTCTAGGCATAGACCTAGAGGTACTTCCCAAACCCAATATCTTAAACGCCAGCGAGGAGATAATTAGAGCCAGGGCGCAATTCGGGGTCGGCGGGGTGTGTGGCTTTCGCTGGCCGAGGGGTTATCTCTCACTCGCTCTAGGGGGTGGCACCCAGGCTAGTTCGAGTCCGATCCTGTTCCTTTGGGAAAGGCACTTTACACGACTTTCCTTGCTTCGCTCAAGTGAAAATGACTATTGTATTGTCCCCTGTGTTGGTGGTGGTATTAATATAAGTTGAAAAAAACTTGAGTGTGTCGTCACCATGTCTTGTGATTAGATGTTGGAAAATAAAAATCAACCCAACACATCACGATAAATACCTCTGTGTTGGGACTGGGAGATGTTGACGGATATGGGTTTGTGTGTATTGCATTGATGTATGATATATGAGTTATGTGATATGTGCTTATATGGACACCATGAATAATATTTTATCACCTTTATAAACTTCTCTGTATATTTTTTTTACCGTATTCTGTGGTTCTATCCACTATCCAATAGTTTTGTGTAAAAGGGACAACAGAGGGACAGTGACAATCGTTGAGTGTGGTTCTCAAAACGATCAAACTATTACATGCACATACTTTTGTTTGATCTTAAAAATAATTATTTCACTTACCTGCATCGGACCCGCTTACAATGACCACCAGTAAAATGACAAAGAGACACATCTTTGTCTCCATGTTGTCCATTTTGCCCTGATAATATGTGAAACAACGGAAGTCTACACATGTATTTTCTTTTACTGAACATTCAATGTCACCCTAATAAATTCCCTTAAACGCTATTTATCTAATCATGCCGGTAACTAGAGGGGTGGTTCGGAAGCATCCTCTCACATGGCTGAAATGTCCACATTTTATATATATTAAAGGTCCCAGATTTTTTTCTTTAGATGGACCGATTCGTATCACCAGCGAGGCTAGAATCGTGTAAAATCTGCCTTCTTTGCCATTGAATAAAAAGTTAAGTCTGATTTTTTGTTTGAAGCCCTCTCAAAAAATGCAGGAAATGCCATTTCTGAGGGTTCAATGTTCCTAGTACGGTGTTCGTTGGTCCCTCAGACAGTGGGAAGACCCCCCCCCCATCCTGGCTACGGGCATGCTAATGTTACCACAAATCAAGGTTTCCGTATTAATAAGTTCATATTTCCAATGGCTTTAGACAAACCTTCGATTATGAAACACATCTGTACTTATATCTACATCGTTACTAAGAAGCGAGAAGAAGCCAAGAAGTCCATAGTACATAGAATTAGCGCTAGCTTGTACATTGTATATATTCATTGCAAACTGTGACGTCTTTCCTGTGACCTGTACTGAACCCAGTGGGTATTTGCGTACAATAAAGGTCTTCATTCATTCATTAATTAATAGCACAATACTTAGAAAGAAGGCCTAGCAGGAATAACCTTACCTCTGCCTGTACAGTTGTTGCTCAGGCTACCGTATGCGACGTGGCTTCTTTATGTTATACCAAATCACGGATTTGCGCACATCCTGATCAATAGGCTATTTTAGACGTCAGCACGGAAAAGGCAAAATAGCAAAGTTTACGTAAATAAAGTTCTCGTCACCCTCCCCCTCCCCACCTTTTCTAGTCGGAACAAGTAAAATCTGAGGTTTTATACCTCCGGTCTTTTTATTGTGTATTCTTATATGTTGTTTGTTATGTATAGTTGATTGTGCAAATTTTATGTGTTAGATTTAGCGTTCCAGGTTGTTTTAACACAGGTCAACATTCTCATCTGTAGCTTATAACATGTACCCATGAACTTATGAAATTCTATACAATCTGCCACAAGGAACTCGTAATGGCAATTAAAAACCTTCCTCGGAAACATGTCTCCTTCCCCGGAGGTAATAAAAAAAAGGCTTCCATGCAATTTAACAGGTTCTCTTCAAGTCTAGTCCAAGAAAAAATAATCGGTATTCCCACTCCAAACATGATAGTCTCTCTCCTGGCCGAAAAATAGCAGGAGGAGTAAGGACACATCTTCGTCTTCATGTTGTCCATTTTGCCCTGATAATCTGTGAAACAACGGAAGCCTACACATGTATTTTCTTTTACTGAACATTCAATGTCAATATAGCACCCTAATAAATTCCTTTAAACGCTACGTATCTAATGTTACCACAAATCAATGTTTTGTTGTTCTTTAAAAACATAGGAAAATAAAGAAATTGATACTAATAATTTACAGCCCAAGACTTAGACTAGGCACAATAGGAATAAACTTGCTTGTCATCTATAACTATAACACTGCCAGCTTCTTCAAGAGACCTATCTTAACCATCTTTAGTCATACAAAAAGTGACTCAAAACTCGGGCATCGCTGACGGGTGTTGTGTAAATAGAATTCGGTTTGTAACCGCTGATTCGAATCCTAAAAGTCAATTCTTGACGTCTGGAATAACTGCAACCATCCCCGTGCCTGCGCGATATTTCAATTCACCTTTTTCCACAAGGTCGGTTTTGGAACTATTCTTAATACGTAAAACATGCCAACAAATATGCCTTAAATAAAATGTGCCCTAAGACGTATAACAAAGCAAGATTTTTATTTCAAATGCAATTTAAGGTAAATAATACATCAGCCCTCCCTGTTAGATTTGCAGTTTAGGCAGCAGACTAATTATGTTTTTAGAAGAAATAACTCTCCCCATAACGCGCTGTCAACGTCAAGTTGACGTAATTTGGAATTTTCATCTCTATGGCAACAGTACTTGAAAATTTAATATCGCCTTGCCGAGCGACTTAGGCCACACCGACTTAATTTTATGGATGACATCCAGGCGCGCATCAATGCGGAGCCGGTTGTAACTCTGGAAGATGGCGCACCCAAGCCTTTTTTCACTATAACAACGTGAACTTTAAAGACGCTCCATTTTTTAAATCGCCCGATCCCATTCAAGGAATAAAATGTTTATAAAATTGTTACATGGGGTCATTGTATTGAATTACGTTAAGCTTCAGTGCCAGGAACACTATTAATTAAAAAAAAATAAGTACATAAATGTCAATCTTCAATCTTTTGATCTTTTTAGAGGGATCTGTATATACTTCTATGTGGCCTTTTCAGCACTTTTCCGGGCGTTGCTGTCATACCGCCCCTTGTAGTGGTGATATTCGTTGAGAACATCGTGGTCAAAGGCGTTGTCCTCTTCCGGGCGGATGAGGAGAGAGAACAAGGCGTTCAGCACCTGAAACACGATAGATTTTAATATCAAGTAGTAAACGTGAAATGTTTTCGCTCTTCAACAACAAACAAGAATTCGGAGATCTCAAACCTCCATGAAATATATGAGTTTTTGTTAATGTTTTTACACTGTACACTACACTACAGTACAGAACAAAATAACACGTAAAGTTTTTGTTGGCCTGAAATAGGTCAGGCTGTCAACTCAGTACATGTAGCCTAGAGGGACCTCATCAATTAAACCGTGTAGGCTCGCTGCATGACCACACGGGTTTTGCATTAGAGGAAGTCTTTGACAGCTGGTGTTTTGTTGCATAACTGGCACATCTGTTTTCCCTCAAAATACAAAAGTTCTGCTTCAGTACCAAGGTCAGCCACCAGGAGGCCCATATTTGACCTTGACCTTTGGCTTCCTAAGACCTACCAGCATACCTAATATCATCACAATCCATAAAGGCGTTCTGAAGTTATGCTGACTACAAATGTGCGGAAACACACACACACACACACACACACACACACACACACACACACATACACACACACACATACATACAGAGAGAGAGAGAGAGAGACGCGCCAAAACAATACCTCCATTTTTCATGGAGGTAATAAGAAAAGGGAGGTCGATAAATGACCTGGGGAACAGTTATTGATATTGTCTACTATTACCCGAGGAGATGGGTTCACCTGGGAAGGAGTATGAAGACAAGCACTGGACAGAAGAGAGTAGAAAGTTAACATCATTTGGTGAAGTTATGAGATCATGGAAGTCATGGAAGTCATGATGATTCCTTACCTGTTCAACGGTTCCTCCTGCCACCCACTCATCTTCAGCCAGGAAGCGGAGACACACCTGTCCGCTAGTCTGACTCACGTTCAGGTGGTAGATCGGCGTGATGAAGCGCACCTAGCGGAGCAAGAGATAATTGCACACTCTATTTTACTTAGGAAATTGCTATTTAAAAGACGTTTTCCACAGTATTGACAAAAAAGCACAAAAAAGAACATTAATAACCTGTTGTCTTTCAAATAAAGATACTATCGAACGATGGGGTTTAGTTTAGTTTAGTCTAGTCTGGTCTAGTCTAGTCTAGTCTAGTCTAGTCTAGTTTAGTTTAGTTTAGTTTAGTTTAGTTTAGTTTAGTTTAGTTTAGCAAACTGTTTTGGTTTGTGATTTAATATAGAGATAAACTAGAAAGGCCGACATTTGCTTTGGAGCAAATTCAGCATGACTACACCGCACATTTACGGCATGGCAGGGAAAGAAGGAGAAACACAAGGGAAACAATGTTTTACATATCGATAAAACTATAGTATGAAGTGACAAATAACAAAGAATATAACAGTTGGATAGCTATCCCCTACATTATTGATTAGTATTTTTTAATTTTCACAACTCAAACTGTGGATTTTCAAGATAAAAAAGCGTTTATGCCCTGCATTCCAATGCTTGAGCAGGAAAGTTTGACATACCTAGACCAAACCACTTCAACGCAGTACGTACTTTCAATATGGTATGGGTTGTGCAGCTGTTCATGGAGTTAACTCAATTATGTCCAACAGCCAATCAGCAAGAAGAATAGAGGAAAGTTGCATGCCTATTGGTTGATTGCTGTGCATGCCAGACAGATGACTCATAGATAGTCATGCCTAACTATATTGTAAATTGTGACCTGAAAACAATCATAAAGTCCCAAATTATACAAGTTTAGGGGAGAATTCGGCCAAAAATTATAATGAATTGTTGTTTATCAAAATCAAATATCAGATGATTTGAGTGTAATACCAGGTCTCCAGGACCCCAAATGTACAGATTTTGTCACAAAATGGCAAAAAAAAAAAACAATTTTAAATGCCTGTATCGAAAAAAGGGCCTAGGGGCATTTGTCCACTCTACCTTCATGCCAAATTTTATGCCATTTGGCTTAGAAATGAAGGAGTTGAATCAATTTAAAGAAATGGCAGGAGGAGGAGAAGAAACATGAGGAAAAACAATATGACTTCACCACATAGTGATCAATGTACTCACGATTGGAGGCCCAAGGGGGTAGTTTTCGCTACGTGAACAGTCAAGGAATAATAAAAAACTTTACCATATACAGTAGGGTCCATACCATGTCATGTATGACACAGATGATGACAGAAAAACTCATGTGCTTATTTACTGAAGTGGATTCAGCCATTAAGCTTTTTCTTGTAACCTCAAAGGTATCCAATGCAATTTAAGGGTGGCAAAATGTGATTTTCAATGTTAATCTACTGGTAATTCTTTTTATTTTCTAGTAAGGCCACAGCACGTAAATTTTATAGATGACATCCTCCGCAGATTCCAAATGTAATGCGAGCGGGCGAAAAAAAACCAAGGCGGGCCGAAAAAAACAAGGTTCCTACAATTAGAATTTTTACTCAATTATTGTACAAATGGTTTTGATTCAGGGGGAACATCACATATACGCAGCCAACATCACACATCACTGCATCAAAGTAAGAAACAAAACATTAAATCAGAGCCTTTTCTTGTCTCCTCTCTTCATATTTATCTGCCATCCACGTTCATGGCATGACAACAGACATTTTTGCCCTTTTTCGGCATGGTGACCACTGTCAGAAGGCGACAAAATTTTTTTTTTTCTCCAAAATCAGGCGAAAATTATTGCGCGCGCTGATGTCATCCACAAAAATTACTTGCTGTGGCCTAAGTTGAGTCAATACTTTCCCATAGCATTCAGATATCTGCGAGGCAAAAATGCAGTTGCTTGTTTCGTATAGTAGGATTGTTTGAGATATTTTTGGCGGCACCCCCCCCCCCAAATAATGAGACGCCTCACGGAGCTAGTTTTGTGGTTATTTCACACGTTTCAATTACAAAATGATGACGTGTTGAAATGGTATAAATGTCAATATCAGATTTTATCTTCCAGAATGTTTTGTTTTTACCACCCTGAAATTAAATTGGTTGCCTTTTATTGCTAGGTACCAATTATAAGTGTGTTTATTGACATTATATTACATTATATTATATAACATAATATTTACATGCAAGTGTTTACAAGAAAACGATTTGTTAAAATTATAGTAATGTCAAACTGCGTGGCTAGATATGAATTACATAGTTATACTTCAATAATGTATTGGTACCACTCTATCACATTTAAAAATTGCCTAAGGCGAAAAAAAGGATACGGAAGCAGTATCTGAATCTTGAACTTCCCTCCTGTTAGTGAATAAGATGACTTTTAGTTAATGATTTAGGAATGTAATGTACTGTTGTCATAAGATATGAAGGTATTCGCAGTTATAAGAACAATATAGAGATGATCAATAAAAGGCTAGCGCCAAATCGGTACTGTGACATTGTTTTTTTTTTATTTCTAGCTACAAGTGTGGCATTAAAATACTTAGAACTGTTACACGTGCACCGATATGCTGCTTTACATCAATAATGGCTATCACGTCGTAAATGAAACTGTGTTACAATAAACTATAAGCAGGGGTCGAAACACCATTTGCATATTGGGGCTGTGTATGTATTTCTGATGTACATGCATATGCTACCTGCACCCAACCTCCACTTGTCCATGTCAAAACCAGACCCGGACACTGAGGGGACACGTTGAACCATCGGTGGCCAGATGTTGTGCTTTGTATTATCTACAGTAGAACCAATGAATTCGTAGACAACACAATGGTGCTTTGGAACTTTTTTTCAGAAATTCTATTTTTATGAACTTTGTGGTGTAGGTTTGCAGAAAAATATATTTCGATCCCTGCTGTATTACGTAGGAAATACAATGTAGATGAAGTAATAATGCTGATTCAGTGCGGTAAAAACAGTAGTACCTTTATACAGGGAGTCCTGTGGCCCCGGGATGACAGCCTCCCACACGTGCAGGTCGTCTGAAGGTAGCGACACCTGGATACCGACAGGAGGGGACTTCCTCAGGGCGGCTAGCTCCTTCTGTACGCTGTAAAATAAGGCATGATGCCACACCGATTTTATTTGTTGGTTCTTGGATTTTTAGAAAAAAAATATAAAGAGGCAGAGCTAATTTTTCGCTAAAAACAGACCGAGGCATCCTATGAGACGACCAAATGCTACGATATGAGCCATGAAGTAAACTTACAAGGGTCGTTCGTAATTCAAACACGTTGACCACAAGACTAAACAACGATCGGGTTAAAAACATTAAAACAGCCAAATAGATAGAATAAGTGGCCAGGAGTCGGCAAATTAGAGAAGGGAACCCTCCCCTGACTGACTCTCCTGGTCAGTTATTTCTAATTTTTCTTATAATTTCCCATTTTTGCAAAATGCTACGATCTGTCGAACGATGGCCTGGTCGAGGCTACGGGTATGGCTCAGGTGGGGATCGAGGCTATGAACACCCCAATGCCAATGGCACTTCGGTCTCAAGTCAACCTAGCCGTAAACCCACAGGCACAGAAAATATATATCCAGGCTCTTTGCGAAGGTAGATATGCCTTTGCAATTATCCTAGTAACCTTCTTTCACTTTGGAGCATACAAAGCATTCAGCTGGGAGCGCGATATTTCTACTTCCGGGTTAACCGACTGGGGCAAATATAAAGCAACTCACCGGGATGCGAATTGTCTCTCCATAATTCGTGTTGCTTGATCCCAAACTGTTTCTTCACCGAATTGGTTTGAGAAACTTTCACCTGTTGTCTAATAAACAGTCTTGTAGTATCTGTGGTCATGTATTGAGTCTGACTCAGCGGGGATTTCAGAGATGTGGTAATCCCCGATGGTTGGTTTCGGTCCGCTATGACTCATTGGCCCGGCCCGGCACTTTCATTATCGATTTCTGCGGGGGGAGTCATGTAACATGTTGATGTCCATATGTGTCATGTATCATCATACTATACAGACGGCGACTGATGTGATATTATAATCATATTAAAGATTGACAAGACGCTGCAAAGTACACCTCTGTATGCTTAACGCCGTGTACATTTTGGAAGCTTAGCTGTTACCACCCCTCCTGAAATAGTGGTATGAGCCGGTGGAAAGTCCACTGACGTAAACAATCCGGGAAACTTGGAAAGTACCATTCGGCTGAGGTTGTTCCATTTTAAGCGCTGTGGGGGTTGTTTTCCCTACTTAATGCAACTAAATAATCACAAATGATGATTTTGGCACTAATTTCGCAGGAGTTAAGCTACGTATACGTTATTTAAAGCTGTTTATGGCAAAATACCAAAAGGTTTACATTATACGTTCGTTGTCGTGTAATTATATTATTAGGAATACAACCTCCCCCCCTTCTTAACCTATAGCATTGGTATCGCCTTATTCTAGACTACGACCATGCACGTAAAGTCCCTTGCATTTTCAGTCTCACAGCCACTGGCAACAGTAACTTGTTGATTTTCTGAACGTTATTTGCTGTATTTTGCCTTTCTAAAATTTTGTGATCGGCAAAATGCCTGAGGGTGACAACATTTGGCAGCTTTTTGTCAAAGGGCTGCGTGGAGAGACCACCGTTGTGAGGATCCACAAGGTATGTAAAGTTCGGCTCATAGTGTAATACTCTACTTTAAGAAGTGGACGGAAAGGATGGAGTGAAACTGACAACACGACAGAAATATGGATGATCATGTTTACCGAAGGAAAACATATTGTTTTTTTCCTATTCTTTTTCTCCAAAGAGTGTCCTCTGACCTGACCAATGACATGATTTGTTGACGTCTGTCACCATGGTAACTGGTGTTGTGTTACATAATGTTGCAATTTCATGGTCTGCTCTGCTCCTGTCACCATAATAGTGCATGTATGTGAATGTGTTTGAGCAAGAATTAACAGAGCAGGCCATGTCCGAAGGTAAACAGTATGCATGCCCTTTGCAAAATTTTAATGTTACTTCTCTAGTATATTAATTTTTATTTATTAGACTATACAAAAAATATATTCCAGACACTCTTGTACTCGGACTGTACGTTGGTTGCAGGTTCAGGGTACTTTTCCTATTCTGCTAAGTTGGCCAAGAGGGAGATTTATTCAAGTCATTACCTCATTTGCATAATTCAAGAAATGTTAGGATAGCGTTCTTTCTAAAGATAAGACTGTCATTGGGTGGAGAATATGATCAACTGATACTCTTCATGCAAATAATGCTCTAATTTGCAAAATCAATGAGTAAAATAGTTACTGTATAATTCGTCCACCGAAAGGGTTAACATGATTTGGCGAAGGTATGAAGTCGTGGAACTCCTGCTTTCATTTTCGGCGGGTACATTCATTTTCTGTGAGAACTTCCATTTTCTGTGGATGTTTCCATTTTTAGTGGGTACATTTCTGTGGGCAAGGGTTTTACGGAAAATGCGCATGGCTGTGTATGTACCTGGCATGTGTACCTAGCCTGTACGGTACCTGGACTGTCTACCTGGTTAGCTCACGTAAAAGGTTGGGCTTTGTACCTGGCTTGACTCCATTGCGTCTACCTGGGCTAGCTACCACGTCAGGCTCCTCAGATACCCCCATTCATATCCCTACAAATGATATCTATGCTGCTGCGCCCTCTAGCTGAATTACTGAAAATTACACATATTACACTGGGTATGGTGTAGCATTTTGCCTTTTGGGAAGAAATCTACATTAAAATGGGAGGGTGAGGCATACAAGATGAATTGTAAAGAAGACATTACTTTTTCATTATTTTCATTATTTTCAGCAGTGTGCATGAAATGTGCGGGATGATATACTGCACTGTTTCATGTCTTAATCATGTCATAGACTTCCGACTTTTTTTCGTTTGTCTCCTAAGCGGCAAACAAACTGTGGTCACTTTTCTACATGCTCCCAGGACCCCGTTTTTAATTGGGGTATAAAAAAATAAAAAAAAGATGGAAAACTAGACAAGAGAGACAGGAGGTTTCTTAACTATTTTCTTTTTTTTTTAACTTTTCGACGTTACTGAGACATAAACAAAGGAAAGGGGATAGAAAAAGGATGTGCCAAGCTACCCACGACAGGTTACTGTCCAAGTGCTCCCACCAACCCACTCCTGCCAACTTGACACATCAAAATAAAATAATGACATAAAAGACAGACATTTCGCAACAAAAAAACTGATACGACTAGAAGGGAACGGGGGATTAAAACCGCAGGCGTAGTTTCCCCCCTACGACCTTCGCCCAACGTACAGAAGTGCACCACTGAGCTAGGATTATAGTAGGAAAGCTGCCTCGCCAAGTTTGGCGGTTCAGCCGTTCAGGCGCTATGTGACATCAAAGTTGGCGCGGGCACTTTTAGCCCCCCACCCCGGTCTAGATGGAGTTTAGGAAAATAACCTGTATAAGCCAGAAGTAATGATATAGTCCGCCATCTTGGATTTTGGTCAATGACGTCATCAAATTAGCATATTTAATGATATTTTTAACATTTTTAATGGTAAAATTATATAATTGTTGCAAACAATATTTTAGGAAAAGTCACCAAGGTTGACGGTTTTAGCCCTAACCGTTCAGACGCTATCCGACATCAAAGTTGGCGCGGGCACTTTCAGCCCCCCACCCCCGGTCTAGATAGGGTTAAGTGTTGCCTACGTACAGAAAGTCCTAACAACTATACCACCCTGTGTGGCGCTATCCATTAGCTAAACAAGAATTCCGAGATCTCATACCTCCATGAAATATGGGCTTGATATGTAAATGTAAATTTCCTTTTTAATTATGCAACTTACCTCCGCATTAACATGATATATGCATCGTGATGCATGTTAACTTTTGATTAACTTACAGATGTCCCAAGTATGACATTCCCATTATTCACCATTAAGAAATCATAGAATTATTTCATAAATTATTCAAATTAGGTCATCATTTGCATAATTAGTATCTGTTGATGTTCTGCCTGTCATAGGTTACATACATTACATGTATGAAAGTAGTATAATGTAAAACACTGTAATCATAGAATTTCCTCATTAATTATGCAAATAAAGTCCTCATTTGCATAATTTGCATTTAATCATGTACATCTTTCTCCCAGCTACCCACGCACCAAAAATTATGAAAATATGTTGTTCCTATCTGGACTTATTGGCTTTAAAACATTTCGCCAGAAAGTGCCCTGCAGTTCCAGAACAAGCTGCTAGGGGAACCAAACTCACACCACTTATTCCTGACAGGAAAAGCAATCTGTCACCAAAACATCAAGACCATAGCATGTTCAGGACAAAAGATACAAAAACCGGAAGTTCTGCTGCAGTACCAAGGTCATCCACCAGGAGGCCCATATTTGACCTTGACGTTTGTCTTCCTAAGACTTACCAACATACCAAATATCATCATAATCCATAAAGGCGTTCTGAAGTTATGCTGACCACAAAGTTGCGGAAACACAGACAGACAGACAGACACACATACATACATACATACAGACAGACACACCAAAAACAATACCTCCATTTTTCATGGAGGTAACTAGAAGACGCGAAATAGAGACGCGAATCCATTTCGTAAGAAAGCCGCTTAGCAAATATATTGTATTGTTTTGCAGGACGCCACTGTCGACGAGCTGATTAACAAGATCAGTGAGAGGAACGGCATACCTGCGGAGACGCAGCGCATCCTATACACAACCAAACAACTTGTGTATGGTCAGAACAAATACCTGTCGGACTACAACATGGAGGATCAGTCCAACCTCACCGTCGTGCTGCGACTGAAGGGAGGAAGCAACACCGTGGAGGACTTGTCCCCTCCGCCGAAGCAACTGGACGAGGACGTGGAGACCACCGAGGCTCCTGATATGATCAGCTGGGAGGATGACCCCAACACGCCCCGAGCCAAGATGTCCTGTGGGCACGCCATCACTCCTGAGACACTCACCACGTTCTGTGAGAGTCTGCTGAGGTATGTGTCTTTCATTCATGCTTCAAGTTGGCTGCATGTGACTGCAGCGTGGCGCGTCCGCCATTTTGTTAGTCACTTTTCTTGCTTATCTATCTTGTTCCAAGTGTTCAGAGATCTACAGGTAGCCCTCATTCCCAGTAGGATAAATTTGTCCGGATCGAGCCGAATTAATTCTGTTTGGTCCGGCTTCGATCCTGCTTCGAGCCGGATTTGAGCCCGGTCAAATCGAATCAATTTTATCTTATCGGCCTCGATTTTATCTTAGTGGGAATGGAGCCCTGGATTTACATTTCGTTTTAAATATTGTAAATAAAAGTAAATGTTTCTTTACAGACTTTCTTTCTCTCAGCTCATTACTTATGGGTATGGAAGTATTGTGTTGAATGCCTTTGAATAAGTTTGTTTCGTGTCCAGACAGAGTATGTAGACGTTAGGGCATGAGGGAAGAATGTTGAACAGCATAATATGAGGTCAAAAGAGTGTGTCAGACAAAATGTTAAATGGGGGAATCTTTTTCGGAAGACAGCATGGATCGGTCCTGATCCTGAGTGTCATACAATGCCACAGATGTCTAAAATCTTCGATCTTTGATTCTCCAGTTCAGGAAAGTACGTCTTCAAGTGCCCTTACATCGGTGAAGGTAGAGCGTATTGTGGCAAGGAGTGGACCTATCTGGAGGTCCGTCGTCTCGCCGTCCTCACGGCGGACGAAAAGAAGCAGTTCGAGACCAAAATCTCCGACAACTACCTGCGCAAGGGGATGGGAATCCAGGAGTGTCCCAAGTGTCACTCTCTCTGTGAGCGCATCAACAAGAAGCACAAGCGCGTGGTGTGCCCCCTGTGCTCGGCCTCTGACGGCGTGGAGTTCCACTTCTGCTGGCACTGCCTGCACCAGTGGGTCGGAGGAGGCATCGAGAAGTGCGGCAATGTCAGCTGCGGCGGTGAAGACCCGCGTCTCAAGATCCTCCGCGACTGCAAGAAGAAGACCATCGTGGGCGTGGCTAACTGTCCTGCCGTCAGGGCCTGCCTGAAGTGCGGCATGCTTATCGAGCATGAGAAGGCCTGCAAGCACATGGTACGGTGTTCTAACTTACTGTATTCACTTCCACCTCTACATAATACAGAATAAATCAACAGATTGGATATATTATCTGAAGATGTAGGAGATTCAGACTGGATCCACTATGCATATATAAATCATAAGTGACTTGCCAAAACTGCACAACTCAGTAAGCTTGCATCGTTTTAGAAAATAGGACTTTCTGCCTTTGCATAAAGTCTGTTTACTGCCTTTCTGGTAGGCAGTGCATTCACCGAGACAGTCTCTTTTGACTCCTCCCACGGATGACCTTTCAGTCATGTTTGACTCACTGATTGTCCGTTATTCCTCCTATTTTCAGGCCTGTGTCTGCGGTCAGAAGTTCTGCTTCATCTGCCTGAAGCCCGACCTGAACGGACACTACCAGTGCGGCAGTTACGACAGTCCGTGCGAGATCGCTGAAGTGCAGAAGACCATCCCTGCAGACAACTAAAACGGCTTCCGTGCTTTCTGGCAGAATAGAAATAAATACAAGCAATGGCGGAAAAACGCGTACGGCTAAGCTAAATAACCGAGCACATAACCAATTTGCATTGTTTGTCTTCCAATACTGTTTTACAAAGTCCGACGTCTCTAGTGATTGGTATTGGTACTCTGTCTCATTCAGACATTGGCTCCCCCCATCACGAGGTGACGTCAGTGGAAGGCAAACCATAAATAGTCACAAATTGAACCGCATTCTTAAAAAGACTCAGCGCTATCGCCGGAGCCCCATACCATATATGGTTGACCTCAAAGGAACCGATATGATTATCCAGATATCAATGTAGTATTACAGTCAGTGGCAGTAACTGAAATTGAAACACTTTGAGCAGTAAACGTGCAATATTAGTATTACAGCCAGTGGTAGTAA